TGAAATGGTAGTAAAGGAAACACAACTCATAACAAGAGATATAAACTTGGGTGGGAATTTAAAGTAGGTTAAAGCTTCTCTAATGAAGCTCCATTCCAGCCTATCATAGGTTTTTTCAAGATCAAGCTTAACCACCATATCACCCACCTGACCTTTTCTCTTAGAAAAGGAATGAACAAGTTTCTGCAATATAACTTGTTACTATTATATGATGAGGGGATTATATGATAAGGTTAGTGTAGTATATAGGAGGCTTTTATTGATGAGAAAGATGGTGGGAAAATATATGGGTTTCAGGATATGTTGTTTGAGTGTGGCTTGATTGATTCATCTTTCCAAGGCAAGAGGTTCACTGGGAACAACGGAAGGCAAGGAGTAGACAATGTCAAGAAAAGATTTGGTAGAGCTCTCAGTAATGGCAAATGGATGGAGCTGTTTCACATTGCTGAAGTTGTAGGTCATCGCCTTGCTATGGGCTCGGACCACTGTCCCATTGTTCTTAACTTTGTGTAAAAAGATTTAAAAGGACATGAACCGTTCAAATTTGAAGCTCTATGGTCCTCCAAGGAAAAGTGTGACAAGATCATTACATATGGATGGTCTACAGATGTCAAGGCCTTGGGATCAAGAGCGAAGTCAAGAATTTTAGTCAGAAGGGTCGGATTTTCAAGTTTCAAAATAATACATTATAATTTCAAAAGTTTACTTTTATATCATAAATTAAAATAATACTTAATGAGTCTTCATATCACAAAATTTATCTATCATAGAATATACACTAAATGTCTGAACTATTTCCTTATCAATATAAACAATCAAAGAGTTTGAAAGGAATTCATCTTCCATTTTGTTACGAAGTTTTGTTTCATAATTTTCATAGCAAAAAATGCTCTTTCTGTCGTTGACATAGAAACTAGAAGAGTAAGTACCAAAGTAATTAACTTGTAAATGAGACTATAAACCTCTGATTTTCTAGTCTCCACAAGCCATTGACATAACTCAAAAATATTTAACAAATTCTGAAAACCTTGATCACAACTTGTTTCAATCTCATAATGTCGAAAACTTTGATCTCAAATGAAGTTTCTCCATCTCTATAACATCTTGAGGATAATATTTTTCTACAAGCTCACAAATATGATCAATATTGAAACTCTTGCACCCATTTTTAGGATCTAAAGCACCACTAAGAGTCAATAGTTCCATTGCATTCTCATTAAATCTACAATTCAATTCTTGCAATTGAGAATTTATTGCAGCATTGAAAATATCTATTCGATAATGATACTCAACAATAATAATATCGTGTTGATGACGAGCACGTAGACTTGGCAAACGGGCGAGTTGGGTCGGGTTAGAACGGGTAACGGGTCAAAACGGGTTGGGTTAAAACGGGTCACGGGTCAATGAAGGCAGATCCTAACCCGCCCATCACGGGTCACGGGTCAACCCGCGGGTTGACCCAATTAATTTTTTTTCTTTTTTTCTCTGTAATTTGTACGTATTACAATTTAAATTATTTTGGATGGTTGATTGGTTTCACAATCCAAAAATTAACATTCAAATACCAAATTTCATATAAAGTAGTTAAGTAAGCATAAGTAAAATAGAGATCTCATCTCAAGAAATAACCAACAATAGCTTTTAAAATTTCATTGTTTGTATTCTTTCGGCATAACATAAAACTTGAAAAGAAAAGAAAAATGAACAATGACTTCTTTCCTTGATGCATACTTCTATCATTGATCTAAAAGTTAACAATATCAATTTGCAAATTTTATAGTGCCATAACAGTGCAAAGAAGGCTGCCAAGTACAAATCCTACTTTAGGAAGTAGGAACAAAAAAGAAGAGAAAATTCACAAAATTCACAGTGCCACAGTTCACAATTGTCCAAAAAAGGCTGCCAATTAACAATCACGATTTCGAAATATAAAAGAAAATAAAATTCACAAAGTTTATAATGCCAATTGCCAATTTTGTCCAAAAATAGTAGGCTATCAACCAAGTACTAACTATAACTAGGTAACTACCAAATATTGAGAAAAAATGAGCAGAAAATGCAGAAACATGATAAGAAAAGTGCAGAAAAATTGCA